ACACCGCCCCCTATGGTCACAATATACGGTGGTCACAAAATATGGTGTAACACCGGTTCGCACCGAGCTCCAAACGGTCAGGAAGTTGATTCATTTTCTGTTTCCTTACGGTAGTTGAACCAGAAGATTCATCTTTAGTGAAATATTTCTATACTATTGATGTATTTATACCTGTTTGCCAAGACTAGGCCTGCTCCGCTCCATCCGTCTGCTTGGAGGAATCCATTTTGTAGTCAGCGCCCGGTGCACATCATGTGACGCAATGACGTAATGGCGACATAATGACGTCACTACGAATACTCGATGTGAAATTTAAAAACTCCAGAGATGTCCTAGGAATCGATGTGTCGATTACTCGAGTAGTCTGTTAAAGCTCTAGCAGGCACCCAATAAAGCCGTCTTATGCAACAGGTACAATTTGACGAATAGGAGTGTAGAGTAGTCCTTTAAATACACTGTTTAGTAAAAGGTTTGTAAGCAGTACTGAATGAATGAAACTAAATGAGACTCAATAAAATTTGGTGAACTTAAATGAAGGGATATTTCTGATTCCAGTCTGCATGGTGTGCTGTGATTTATTTTTCTCCAGATGTGTATTGTCCACATTACCAAGTGTAAGGCAAATGCTTTCAAACACACTTTGATTTCTTAATTTTTAAGGTTTTCCATAAAGATCTCACGTGTTTTATATGTTCAACTTTCAGAACCATTTCAAATAGAATCAAAACTTCAGAGTGCAAGATATGCAGAGAACTGCAGACACAGACGTCCTTCAAAAGTGAATATAGATGAAAGACGGGTGAAGTCCTGGCTTTCCTCTCCAAACTGCAACTTTAAGAGGCATTTCAAGCAAGCGGCACAGGTTCAAGTCTCAATTTCCATCATGTTGGATTCATGGCTGTCTGCTGTAATAATCTTGAAATCCTTCCAAATCCCTGGAAATCATCTCTTTGTAGGAGCCTTGCATGCACAACACATGCCCTTCTATACACTAATTTATACACAGAGTAACTTAAATTTTACCCCTTTCTTTGTACACTCTATGGGTTTATGGTGATTTCTTTGTCTTTGTAACAGAAATGCCTATAAAACACATCCTTTACTCACTTTTTTCTTGATGTGTTTACTGGATGCTGGTAATAAACATAAATAGGTTTGAAGCTTCCTGTTTTTTGTGATGAGTGTGCAGACTGTCACTAAGCAGGCCTTCTCCTGTCGCCATGGCACTGCATTACTGTTGCTATGGTTTCCTTCCCCTGGATGTGGTTGGACTGGGCCTGCCATATTTAGTCTGCTCCTCTGCAACACAGTCAAGCACTTAGACCTCTAATTTGAAAGCATTTGTGTAAAAAGCTATGGATTCACCACTTGAACATTATCAGAGTTTTACATTTCAAGCATTGCATGGATGACAGGTGTATTTGCTTCAATGCATGCAGAAACATAAATATCTATAAGTGTTAAATAAAATAAATTAACTTTTTGTAACCATTTAGTTCAGACGTTTAAATAAAAACGAAAGTAAAATGCAATGAAGCCCCAGTTCTTGTTATTTGTTAATAATCCTCCCATTGTTTCAGACACAACAGCCACAAGATTAAACTGTGAAATCACGAAGAGATTATTGTTTTTCTCTCAGACCCAAGGCTTTATCACTAGATTATCTTAAGTTGTTTTTCTTTCTGCTTGCACAAAGGTAACAGATAAGAACGGCTAATTCAGGAAACCTGCCCTCTTGGTAGGAGCCTAATCTTAAATTGTATCAAAAAAGGTGGAACATGTTTGGCAAATAATTTGTACCATATAATGAGATTTTTTTTCCACTTGAGTAAAGAAATTAATGCCTTTTATCACAGCAGATAATGAAAAAAGGTTAAATGTAGGGAGAGATTTTCCACAAGAAAGTCTCCTAAATGCCCATCAGTGTGCTTATAGAAGTTAATGGATTTTCAGGATTTTCATATATGATACAATCCATATTTATGAAATAAGATAAATACAAGAAACACTTTTGCATCATCTTCACCACTTTTAGCCCCAAAAAAACATTTGTCTATAAAAGAAATGGAAAATTTGATCATATATAATTATTCAGAATGAAAATCAACCTCTATGTTAATCTGGTTAATCTAATCTATGAGTTTACATAATTTAATGACAATTACATGCACTATTTAGGCAAAACTTAAAGTTAGTAGGGAAATAAAAATGTATCTAAGAAAATAACATTGTTGAAATTAAAATGAGACTTTGTCAGAATTCATGTTGAGTAGAGATGGAAAAATAATACCAGAGGATCAGCAAGTTAACAGTTTTTATTTTAATATTAACTTTGATTTTCACAAAGTAATATGTTTAAAATCATACCCAGCATGCTTTAAACTTTGTGTTTTCAGTGCTAAACATGCCAAAATATGCTTTTGATTGAATGCAACATTATTACAACATACAGTTTAATATAAGCATAATTTAATTTTATTTGTCTTGATTTCCAGTAACTGGATTTGATGCTTTTATACTATTGAGTCTGACATACTGGAAACCATATGTGGGTTTATGGAAGTTTTTTAAATATACTTTTTTTAAATAAACATATGGGCTAATAACACAAATTATTAATCAGTTTAAATTTCAAAGTACAAGTTGTAAATAAATAAATAATTAAAAGCCCAACACCTGTTGGCATGATAGTTAACCTTCTGCAGCCTCCGAGTTCCAAGATGACGTCTAACAAACAACACCTGAGACCCATTCCTCTGATGAGGACCCAGGAGAACTTAAGGCTGCAGAGGAGCTCAACTCGCCGCTGGAGCATTAAGATGCCAACTGGTATTTAAGCTTCTGACCCTTTTGTGTACTAAAGTTTCTGTGCTTAACTTACCTTGTTCTCTCTGTGTTGCGGTCTTGTCTGAGTCCCTCCTGATCCTGATCTCCCTTGACTAAACCAATTTCCTGGTGGACTGCCTCCTTGCCCTCCAACCTCTTGCCTGCCATGCCTGCATCCTTGAGTGTCCACGCTCTGGAACTCCTTTGGACCACCTTCCCTACTTGGTCCAACTCTACCAAACTATAAGAAATGAAAAACATGTTCACGTCTTTTGTCTGTGAGAAGAACCTAAACCTGATCACTCTTCTTGCTTCCCAGGGTTCCAGAGACCTTCCCAGTACATTGCAATACTATTTACTGTAAATAAAGCACTGTTAACTTTCTGCGTGTTGGAGTCTTGTCTCACTTTCATCTCATATTATCTGGGTTCCCTGAGATCATTACAGTTGGGGGATTGTAAATTGCACATCATTTTACATGCTGAAATGTTAAACTGGGATCAATTTATGTTGAGACACAATAGATAGTAAATTGTAACTGTAGAAGATTGTAGCTGTAATAGACAAACTGTAAACATATAAATAATTAAATAAAAATGATGTGTGCAGTTGCATGTGAAGTTGCAAGAGTAGGCTAAGTAGGTGTTGTTTCTAACTTTCAGCTACTATCCATCAACTCATCCATTTTCTTTACTTTCATTTCTGTTTTTGGTTGCAGGGAGCTGGTGTCTTATCTCCAGCAGTCTCTCATTTACCACCACATCAGATTTTAACCCTTTAATTGTAAAACTAACTGAGTTGTAGTCATTTTTGTGGTGGCTAATACAGCTTTCGTGGCCACCTTAAATTGTACTAACTCCCAAAGTTATTCAGTTATAGATGTGCATTCAGTTAAGACTTTCAACAAGTTTTATTAAAATCTAGCTAGTGGGTCATAAGATATTTTACTAACAGATGAAAATGGTTGACTCAAAAAGAAGCTAAAACAAAACAAACAAAAAAAATCTCTAAAGGATGTAGCTCTTGGGGTATGTGTTGTGAATGGCCCTAGCTATAACCACCACAGCTTTTAGCACCATGCCTGAGAAGTTGACTGAATTAAAGCTGTTTATTTAAAGGTCAGTTAGCTGGACAATAAGGGGAGTGGTGGCACAGAGGTTAGAGAAGGTGGGCTTGTGGTTCAACTTCCAGTACCGACAACATCAATATGTGTGTGGGATTGGTGAAGCACCCATACCTGTCTCCACCCTCATTTGCCCCACTCTGGGCCCTTGAGCAAGGCCCTTAACCCCCACCATCTACTCTCCCAGGCGTCCTAGATAGCATCTCTCTGCTCCACACAGAGGGCTGTGGTGGCTCGGTGGTCTGTGGTGGCGTCAGGAAGGACATCCGGCGTAAAACCAACAGCCAAGTCTTTGTGCGACTTAGTTTGCTGTAGCGACCCCTGAAGAGGGGAGCAGCCGAAAGAAGAATAAAAAAAACATTTAAAGGTCAGTTAGCCGTGGAGATCATCTTGGTGTGGGTTTGCTCCATAAGTTGATCAGTTTTTTTTATCCAATGCTGGATTTATGTTCCTTTAATTAAAAAAAATAAAAATAAAAAATGACCCAGTGATATATGAAATATTTTGCTGCCACTGGTAAAATCATTATAGTCCCCTTTTTAAAGTCATTGTTCCCATATTCATAGGTAAACTCTGTTAGTTTGCTCACTAAGCTGACCTGTCACTTACTGTACATTTGGAATAGCCCAACAAGACATTTATGGAAACAGAATGTCTAACTAAGAGCACAGTGATTATTTTTAACACTAATAGCTCTTTGGCCTTTTATTGTTTTTCCACTTTATTCCTCAGTTGCAGTGAAACTATTGTAAGGTAGAAGAAAAAAAAAGATTACAAAATAATAAAATGTCAGAAGGATCCCTGCTGCCAGCACGCTGCTGAACAGGATTATGTAACACCCGACACTTATCCTCGACATTTTGGTTTACAACACCTGAGCAGACCGTTTCTGTTTGTTTTAGCTCGTGCAGTCAAATGAAAAGCAAATTCAGAAGAAAAACAACAACACATAAACCACTGAGCATGATGAGGCCGGGCTCAAATTGCAAGAACACGCTCCTTCCTGCACGTTGTGTTGTGGCGAGGGAGTGACTCGCGCATGCGCACCAGAGCCCATCTGCTCTGCCAGCGATAAGTGATCGCTGCAAAACAAAGACGGGAACAAACTGCGGCTGGAAAATATAATCGATCATCGGCTTTTTAATGGGGGGACAGACTTTCAACAAGCTATAGTGCAAATCTGTGAGAGGAGAACAGCTCTGCTTCTTCTTCTTCTAGTTTGTAAAGTGAGAACAGGACTTCAATTCGCCAAACAGTGGGTGAGTACATCGGCCTTTTTCTTTCTTTGGTAGAATCCACAGGTTTCCTCCTTCCGGCTTTTCTTCTTCATTTTCTTCTTAAAAAACAAAAACAAAAAAACACCGTGTTTGTGTGGATGGAGCCGGACTGAGAGGAGTTGTGGGCGAGGAAACTGTTGCATCACTCTGTCTGTCGCTCATTCCTCCTACAGAAGAAGGGGTGAGGTGGGGGTGCGGGGCGATGAAATGTTTCCTTCCTGTTTAGACGATCAGCTGTGAAGTAGTTGTGGATTTGAAGCAGATAAATGGACAGGTGCTGAGCGCTTCAAACTGTCTTACAGCAGGGGGGCACGTGTCTGTCGAGGAGAGGCGCTGTCCGTGGTGCTGAAAGTCCTTCAGGTCTCCAAAGAGCCGGTGTGAGGACAACCTGAGGACTGTCCAGCTGCAGCTCCTCCAAGAAACAAGACAAGACATGGTCCCTCTGTGCAGAGTCCAGCTGCAGACTTTCATACTTCTCTGTTTTGTTGGTAAGTATGAGCCTTAAAGATGCTCCAACCCCTGGTTTGATTCTGTGTTGCATGTCTTAGTAATCACGAGCTTTGGAGCTGAGAACTCACAATTTAGAGCATTTTAGTTCAGTCTTCATGGTGGAACGTTTTTCCACGTCTGTGTTTTTGTTAGCAGAATATGTCATGAGCAAATAGGAGGGTTTTAACAAAACTCTCAGAAGTTACTCCTCGGATAAACATCTCCAACTGTTCAAAATGGCCACCACACCAAAGTAAACTGAGCAGGCAGTGAAGTGGCTGTAACTCAACCAGTTTTACAAAAACTGAGGTAAAATCAAGTAAGGTAGCAGCTGAGAGTCCAACCTGTACTCTGAGCCCTAACTGAGCAAGATTAAAGTTAAAACTTTTGCTATTAACTACGAGAGTCATTTGTCTGTTAGCAAAATGTCTCGTAATATCCTGGACAGATTTTCATAAAATTTCTAAAAGTAATTATTAAATGCAGGTTTACAACTAATTAACTTTTAGAGTGAGCCTGATTCAAGATGGCCATCAAAGTCAGCTGATAATGGAAAACCTATAAATGGCTATAAAGCAGTCTGTTTTGCAGAAATTAAGGTAAGATTGAGTGTGGTCATAGCTGAGAGTTATTCTTAATACATATTCAAAGCCCTGCAGGTTAAACAATGTTTTTGTTTATCCCTATGGCCTTAACTGTCAGTGTTAACCCTGTTTGTTAGCAAAATATCTTGTGAGCCACTCAATATATTTATAAAAAAAAAGAAGTCATTGGCTGTACATCTACAACTGATGGCCACCACAGTTCATCAATATCCAACACAAAAAATGACTCTACAGCTGTCAAGTTCACAGCCATTGAGCTTACATTTGATGTGGTAGTAGCTGGAAGTAACCCTCAGCACATACTCTGAGTGCTAACACATCTCAAATGAGATTGTGCATATTGTCCTTCATTAAATTCATGGCATAAAAAGCAACGACAGCATGCTTTCCCTCAAGAAAGACAAGGCTTTTAATTATTTGCTCAGTGCTTCCCTCTTTGTAATACCCCTCACATCTTAGCTTTCCTCCCACACGTTTGTGTACAAAAACAAGATAAAATCAATGTTGTCACTGTTTGCCTGGGGGACGCTCTGGTTATGTAACAGCACAGGGCTGAACACTGTACTGTCACATATATGCACAAAATGCTTGTTTTTATTATTCAGCTATATTCAGTGTAAAACAAATATTTGCCATTCACTTTCTTCAATATTGTCCATACTTTCAGTGCTTTCATGTTATTTTTCCTCTTGCTAACAACAAATGTAAGCTGATATAGGCCATCTTCTGTGCTCTCTGCTCTATTTGAGCTTGAATTTACCACCAGTGTTGTGACTTCAGGGTCTCCAGTGCTCACAGAGCTGCATAATTGAATTTATGTCTGCGCTAATTCAAACTGAGTCCTGCGTCTGGCTCTGCGTTGGATTTCATGTAAACTTAGAGGAAAAAAGCCGATGACTTCACTGAGACAGGCTCATGAGTTTTGTTTTCTAATACAGCTGAAACTGGATGATACAGGATGCACCATTAGATTTTATTTATTGTTAAAAATAATTGAAAGTTGTGTTATTGGCTTAAATTTGGCAGTAAATTTACAAGGAATTGTCTTATTTTCAAAAGAGAACTTAAGTTTTTATTTTTTTTTACCCCAATTCAATTCCATTTAATTCAACCTTTATTTGTACAGGTTAGTCTCACTGAGCCACGAGGACTCATTTACAAGAGAGACCTGTTTAGATGAGGTACAGACAACAGTAGACAATCATAAAAAACATATAAAATGAAAATTAAATGTAAGCAATTATATAAAAATAACTGAAAAAAAAATCCCAGCTACATTAAAGTGGTGTACAATACTAAAAACATTAACATGGTTTTTGCCATGAATTTAGCAGTTCTTAAAGTCCCTTAAATGCCACTAGGATCCAGGAGAAGGCCCTTTTGCCTAATTCAGTCCGCACTGAGGGAACACTGCATGTAATAATGTCCTGAGAGTACACGCTGTAGCTGTACTCACAAAATGACATGTGGGAGGAAATATATGAAGGCAGCAGACCAAGAAGTGATTTAAAGATGAAAATGTACCAGTGGGAGAGTCTGCGTGAAGTTAATGATGTCCAGTTAACCAGTGAATACTGGGTGCAGTGGTGGGTATGATCGTTACAGCCAGTTATGAATCTTAGTGCACCATAATAGACAGCATCCAACATCTGCAGTGTGCTTGTAGGAGCGTTCATGTAAATGATATCCTCATAGTCAATGGAGGGAAGGAAAGTAGCAGTTACAAAGTACAAGATGTTTCCTAGCATTCAGAGTTAGACAAGATCTGTTTCTAAAAAATAAACCCAGTTTTAATTTCAGTTTCTTTATCAAGTATTCTACATGAGACTTAAAAGAGAGATGTGCATCAACCAAGATTCCCAAGTATTTGTAAGAATTGACAAACTCAACAGAGACACCATTCAAAAATAAAATAGAAAGAATAACTGCTGGTACAGACTTCCTGTTTGAAAACAACATCCCTTTGGTTTTGTCAGCATTTAGCACCAGTTTGAGATGGAACAAATCTGACTGGATGATGTTGAATGCAGACTGTAAAAGCTGGAAAACCTTAGCAACTGATTTAGCTCAACAATAAACTACTGTGTCGTCGGCATAGAAATGTAAAGATGCATCTTTTTAGCATTTTTTTAGTATCAAGATATGAAGATAATAAATCCGTGTTTCTCAATGTACCTCATCCTGATTAAAATGAAAATAAAAACATATTACCGACTAGAAAAGATCATTACATTGTAGAAATTACATTTAATCAAAGTTGTTGAAGAATTATAAAATATATTTGAGCTACTTGCCTTCCTGTTATGGAGAATTAAGTATGTTCTTTATCTGTTCAATCTGGGTCAACATACATTCTTATGGAGACTTTTTAAAACTCTGGCTTTATCAGGTACATTTGTATTTAGGAGATTAATACAATGTTTTTATGATCAGATACAGAAAGAAACTAACATTCTTTGAAGTAATGATATCACCCTCTACACTGCATGCCACCCTTTTAAATAAAGTATTGCACAACGTGTAAGCACTCAGGGGTGTTTTGCAGATGACTCTCACCTACCACCACCAAATATTTGCTTTAAAATTTGTAAAATTGTATTAATTTTCAATGTTGAATACTCTGGCAGCCATCTTGAATAGGGTTGACTCTAAAAGCGAATCAGTTATAGAATTAGTAAATACTCATAGAGCTTCTTTACAATCTGTCCAATAGTTATTTTGATATTTTGCTAATAGGCATTGTATAGTAATTCCATGTATGTTTTTATATTTATTTTCACAGAGTTTTTTTTTTCTTCCTTTTGCATATGCTTACTGTACATCTAACGTGATTAGGGCATTTAACAAATCTAAACTTTATATGTTTGTGACAGTCTGTTCAATGTGTGCCTTGGTCAATTTACAAAAACACAACAACAACAACAACAAAAAACAAACAGGGAAACCCCACAGAGTTGAATCTGTGTGATCTTTCCATGTTCTTTTAGTCCATCTGAGCAGGTCGGTGTGTGTCGAGGTGTCGTCGGATACAGAAGCAGTTCTGGGGAAGTCCATAAAGTTGACATGCATCTCCTGCATGCAAAGAGAGGAGGTCAAAGCCAAGACAGTTGTGAACTGGTATCACATGCCCAAAGGGAACAAGTCTGAAAAAACTCTTGTAAGTTGCCTGAAAATAGTAACAGTTCTCTTTTCTACAATTTCAAATGTTACTTTGTGTGGTTGTTTGTTTTTTTTTCTTTCTCCAAGATATACCACTATAACAATACAAACTCAATGGATATGGATGGATCCTTTAAGGGCCGTCTAGCCTGGAACGGCAGTCAAGACCTGCAAGACGTCTCAATCAGGATTCTAAACGTCTCAGACACTGACAGCGGCATCTATGAGTGCCACATTTGTCGGGAGTTTGACTATGGCTTCTTCATGCCTTCATTTTCAGTCACGAAGAACATCACACTGGAAGTGAAAGAGAAAGGTACAGTGACTGCATCTTATACTATATAAGATATACTATATATACTATATATATGTATATATATATCTATATATATATATATATAT